GATGAAAGATTCAAGTGTTGTACTTCTAATCAATTTAAAAAAGAACTAACTTCGCATTTCATTAGTCTCTATTAATCTTTACTGATATTTTGATAGTTTGTATCTACTTAGTTTGTTTTGTTTTGTATATTTAATCTTGTACCAAGTTTGTGATACTTATGTGTACCAATGTATTTGTTGTGCCTCTTTCCTGACTATTACATTTTTAATTATTATAATTACGGTCACCCAACTAGTTTAGCTTTTTAGTTATTTTGGGTGTCCCACTACTGTATGTACTGTACTGTTTATTTATATATTTATAATTATAATCTTGTAAATTCTTTTAGTTGTTTACAGTAGTAGAAATGAACTGTTGTTGTTGTTGTTGTTTGTTTGTGTGATCCACTGTCATATGCATTCCCCTTACTGAGGCATCTCCATATACTAGATACTAGTTTGGAAATCTTCTTATACTAGTTGTTTACAGGTCTTTTGATTTATTGCTATCGTGAGGAGACGTTGGGTGCTGTAAGTGTTCGGGGTTAGACTGTTTCACAAACTTTCATTTTGCTATGCTCACTTATCTGTCGTTCGTTTCAGAGAAAGCTGCCCCTGTTGATCAGGACACGCACAGTCCAGGCAGCAGTTCAACTCAGCCATTGCCAACTCCAAACATTTCTTACAGTAAAGTTCTCTCAGAATCTCCAGCTGTTTCACTCAGTAATTCTCCGTGCCAGTCTCCCATGCTGCGCGAGGAAGATGAGCATAGTGAGACTGGGGAGAGTGAGGGTGAGGATGAAGACGATGTTCCTGGACCCCAGTGGGCGGAATCTGAGAGAGAAGTTACCGAAGTTGATATAAATGATGTAGATATGAACAAGGTTGGTTGTACGTTTTCTGTGACGCACAATGCCCCAGGGGATTTCTGTTATCAACTGAGTTGTGAAGGGGTGTTGCAATTAGCCCCTCGCCAAGATCCCAGACCGGAAGGGGAAAGAGTTTCCTCTGTCAAGAGTCTCCCTTTAAACCAACCCAGCTTGACTGTATTTAGTGGGGCAGAGGTTCAAGCCGCCATGGGTCATTTTCGTGGCATACCAGGCTGAAGTTGCCTATGGACACTGTTAGAGCAGATAGAGGTGAAAATGCGATGGCATTAGATATATACGACAGACACTGAATATGTCAGCAAGTAAGATTATGGGGTTGGTTACTTTGTTCTTCCTTTTAAAGTCGACCGTACGCCGATTCATACTAATTCTGCCCATGGGACAGCTGGTGTAGAAAAAATTCTACTCTGGTGAAATTGCGTTGAACAGTTTTATAACACATTTTTTGAAGAGTATAGTTTATGCATTAAAGATGAATAGTATTTGCTGTATTACCGCCAATGTTCAGAGTGCTCTTTTCAGGTTTATTGGCTTATACTCCTCCTAACATTTCTGCCTTTTTATATCAAACTGGAGTATATTAAAGGTCTGCTTTCAAGTTCGGATTTGAGTGAAAATAGCTATATGGCTTTTTTTCGTATTTGCTTGCATACGAGAGATTTACCTAAAACCTGTTTTCCTTGCCTTCTCTTACAGGTAAAAGTTCTCAGTCCCCCTAAGCCAGAACCCACTGTGGAAGACAGGGCATTCCTTGCCGCCCTTGACAAACTTTTGGTGGATGATGTCCAGACTCGCCGCGAAGAAAACCCTAAGGTATAAAGAGAGTGTATTACAAAGAGTACAAATTCTGCTGTCCTATTGTTCCTAATGCGTATCGCCATACCCAACACTATCTCTCAGGTTCCGAGCTTGGATGTCGCAGTTCCAATGCACCTTAAGGGACAGAGGGCTCGTCACAATAGTCTGAGTGAAGAAAGCGAAAATCTAAACTTTGTTGTTATGCTGAAGAAAGGAAATAAACAACAGTTTAAAGGTAAGCAAAGTCTTGTAGACCTTAATACTGTGAGTATGCCGAGATTTAGATTAAAGTACACGATACAGCAAGGTCGTAAATAAACCATCTGCGACTCACTTATTGAATTGTAAAGAAAAAATGTGCCGTAAACGGTCCATAATTAAACCTTGGATCTTGGAACGGGTTGCGGGGCGGCGGGTGGGGGACTTCTTATTGGAAATAACGATACATCATGAAAAGCATTGGGTTAGCACTTAAAAGAGATCTTTAGGGCTTTGCCGTATGGTAAGTCATCGAAACAATCGGTTAAACTTCTTGTCACAACCACAAATTCGCTTAGATATGTCGGTTCTGGACGAAGCGTGAGGTCAAGATTGCCAAGTTCTTTTTTTTGCGTGTTTATGGACCGGGACGGAGTCGAGGTCCATAAACACGCCAAAAAAGAACAAGGCTAATATCCAGCCATCTTGACCGAACAAGCTTGGTCAATAAAGGATTTGCTTTGTGGGATAAAGAACATATTTTTCTACGGGACACAGCGCATAATCCTGTGCGGGCAAGATATCCCCATCTTGCCCGCTCACGGAGCTTTCCAATATATTAAGGTCTGTTATTCTAGCACTCTCCGGCCCTATCCCCCACTCGGGGGCAAGGAACTAAGCATTCTACCACTCTACAGTATGAGCGTTTTAAGATCTGAAGAAATGACATCGCTATTTCGTTTGATTAAACTAAAGCTAACTATACGAGCAAATCTCCTAATGGATTTTTTTGATGGTTTATTTATGCCTGGACGGTTTTGTTGTTGTTGTTGTTGCTGTTGTTTGGACGTTTGTGGTAGGTTTTTATAGCTAGAGTAGAAGAGGATTAAACAAAGAGTCGTAGCAAAGCTTGAAAAAAAAAAACCGATCAATTCAGCAAGCATACCACGCTATCGTGATGCCACTGGGCCAGGCTGTTTAAGTGTCTTTGTTTTACCACTTAACAGATCTCCAGATTCCTCTCAGCTCTGGACTGGCAGCTAACATCCGGGACAGACAGATGGCTGAGCAACAAGAGCAGGAAGAAGTCAAGAGACTGGTACTTGATTATAATCAGAGACAGGAGGAAGAGATTTACAATGGTACGCGTTAACTCCTGGTCAAAGTCGATAATGATAATAACTAGGAAGATAAGTATTGTCAGTGCACATAATTGCCACGGAAATGATGACGTGGATTTATTAGTGTTACTGTTAAGGTTTGAAAAGGTTACAGCATCATTTCAAAATGAGTGTATGTCATGGCGAAACGTGGGTGATTTCTCAAGTGTTTGGTCCACTTTAGTTTTGGATTCCATTTATTGGATTCCATTATTATTCTCTTGTTATCCTAGCCTTTATTTCGCATTCCAACGACCAAGGTCAGGGTGGACAGAAACAGTAAAGCACCCAAGCTGGTTCTGATGCCATTCACTGCAGAATATACCACTAAATTTTCAGAACTTCAGCATCAAAGAGAAAGGAAGATCTCGGAACCAACAGTTCCGCGAAAGCAAACCCAGTTACTTTCACCATCGTGACGTCTTTGATACCGAAGATTGCCCGAGAATCGTCTGGCTGAAACATTCCAAAGATTTACGAACACCGAAAGGGCCGACCATTTCCTAAGAATCATCTTCAAAATTTCCCAGGGACCTCCAAACATATCGAAGTCGTATTGATTTTCAAAAAAAAAAGTGACATGTAGTCTGTAATTAAGTTTGCACTCACATCTAGGACCTAATTTTCACCAATATTTTTGGTGTTTTTTTTCTGCAGAGATGCAGGCGCAGCAAAGACAGGCAGGCTCGGACCAGTCTTCAAGGTCTCACGGCCACCGTTTTAACAGGAGACGACTTCCAGAAGGCAATGACACTAACATAGTGTTTGCTAACTTAACCAGGTGAAGGAAATATATATTAATAGTGTACTTCAATATAACTTGTAGAGGTTCGATGACACTTGTTCCATCAAACCTAAATAGGCCTGGCGGCAGTAAAGATTGAACATTATTGTATACTTTAAATCCTCTCAATTTAATTGCCTTTAAGACCAGAAAGAGGTCCATACTCTCCCCCAGATTTACGCTCCAAGCACGTTTTAATCAGAAAGCAACACTGCGGAGTGGTGCCTTGCGGCACGCCATAAGAAACCAAATGTAGGCGTTCATGCAGATCAACGGCTTGAGAAAGGCTCCTTCGTTTAAGAATACTGAACAAATGCTTAGAGAATATACTCCTTTACACCTCATATGTCAGTATCTCTCATGCTCGAAGTGTTTATTTCTCGTTTATTCCTGTGGTTTCCTAGGAGACGCTAGATTATGTGGAAATGGAGCATTCGGTGCTTAACCGCTACAGTGACGCCTCGTGGGCTCAGTATCCTGTCCCGAGACAACATGTGACATGTTACGTCCCTGACCGAGTTCAGTAACTCCGCCGAGACTCGGAATATTTGTCCGAGAAAGTAAGCAAGTTTGAAAGAAACTTCAGTGGATTTCCGTGACTTGTGAAGTCGTGCGAGGATTAGCTTGAATGGCTTCCAACTGTAACTGCAGTTCTTGCTGTCTACGGTTAGGTTGCTAGAAAGATTTCCATTCTTTTAACACAATTGAAAATGTAAACCGAGAGATACTTAAGTTTGCGATTTTTGAAGTTTTGTTGATAACGTCATTTTAACAAGCGATGGTATTGGGTTTAATTGTTGGTGCGTCGCAGCCTTCCCTGCCGAACTGCCATGGTGGGTTGTTATACAACGAAGGTTTAATTGCGTTCACATAATCATCGAGTAAAGTGTTTATAACGTTCTTAAAGTTATTATCATATGCACATATTACCAAGTTTGATGTTGTTTAATTGATTCAGTGTTTGAGGTTTCGTGCAAATTGAACATTCTGAAGCTAATAAAGCTGTTTTATTGTTATGTGGAGAGCGACTTTGGTATTGTTACATTACTGGAAACTGACTTGAGTCCACAGATACTTACTGTAAGCAGCTAGTTTGCAGGGAATGTTTGTTTCCTAAAGGCAAACGAGGTATGGCGACATTAATTTATTGGACGTCAGTTAAATTAACTGAAAGGATAGACGTCACCTTTG